ATTAGAACTATTAAACTTTTAAGTTACAATTATTTTAACAGCTGCCTTCTAATATAGAAAATTTTAATATTCAACCCTTTCCTTTTAAGGTTATTACCCAACACCTCGGGAGACTAAAAGATAATTCAACTTTGTAAAATCAGTAGGGATGACCCTACAAGATCCAATTAGGTAAAACCAAGGGTTTGACTTTTAAGTTCTTCTGTCTTGCTCAACTCATTCTTATTTACTCCCCTGATGCTAGTGGTGCAATGCACCATATGTCTCAGACTGTCGGTAAGAGTCCTAAACCAAGCAGAATTACCTTCCCAGAATCAGCATCTGCCTGGGTTTTGGCTAGTTCTAATAATGGCCACAGACTGCACACAAGTCACCAAGAAAGTTTGAAACTCAAGATGCAAATAAGCTGGTAACTACTGCTGACTATGTTATTAATAATGTGCACATGATGTCCACTTTAAATAATAGAAGGGAAACTAGTTCTATAAATAGGCACACCAGAGCGGAAATATAATACCTTTAAATTTTTCTGTAGAAAAAAACTCCACAATTACCCGAATTTTGATCACAAATTTCCTCTGGCATATTTCTATGCCATCCCCATCACTTTCTACTATTCAGACATACACATTTTGAAAGTCAAATTACTTCAAAATTAGCTTAATTTAAAAGGGTAGATTAGAAAAATATATTTTGAAGCCAAATGAACATATTTTTAAATATTATACTTAAAATATAAAAAAGAAACATCATTTGTATCATTTTACTGCCCCATTGGTTTTACATTTATGCTAAGTAAGTTTTTTAAGAATGTCTGTTTGCTTAGATTAAACACATAGCAAGAATAATTTCCTAACGCACATTACAAATTATCACATAAACAGTATCTCTTCTAGAGTATTACCTTAAGATTTCTATCAATTGATACAGGATGACCTTTGTCCCAGAGTTATTTTGATCAGCTATAGCTGGAAAGCCACAGGCTTCAGAAAGCCCATCACAAAAGTAGCTGTTTCACCAGTTCTCCCACTACCCCTAGGCCAGCCCTAGTTCCTCCCCAGGAAAGCATTTATCAGCCTATAAATGTTGCCGAAACAGGAAAAGTCTCCCTACTCAAGTGTTCTGACTAAAAGTATGTTCCACGGAACACTGCTATCTCCCAAGGTAATATAGGTGAACAGATAAATGTATAAAATTTTGAGTTAAGCAGAAGTTACTGTAAGATTTCTAACCGGAATCTCCTTGAGTGATATTTGATCATGGGGAAATGGGTTTCACAAAACATCATATAAATATTGTTATTCCTGCAATTTGGAAAAAAATCTGCTTTACCATGAAGCTTTACTGACCAATCTTATCTTAGAATTAACCTTTACCTGGGGAAATATCACATTCTAATTTAACAGGTTCACAGATTCTTAAAGGAGGAAGAAAACAAATAATCTTCCCAATTTGAAATGCTCTATATATTGTACAAAGTGTAGGTCCAATCCACTTTTTAGGTAATTTACAAATTCTGTTTCCCTAAAAGACACTAATCAGAAATCTCAACTTCTATCCATTGTATCTAATTCTGTCCCCTAGGTTAATGTTTTAAGTGAAAAAAATCCTGATTCATACAAAAGCACTTCAAATATATTGCAATAACTCTCATGCACCATTATCTGTTTATATGGTGCTTTAATTTTATAAAACTCTTTCAAATACATTACTTTATTTATGCTTCACAAAAATGAATACTACCATTTTTTCAAATAAGATTAGGGATTAGGTTGCCAATTATTTGTCTAGCCTCACAAAACTAGGAGATAACAACTTCAAATCAGGGTCTTCCAAATCTAAGGAAAGAGACATTTAAAACTGACAAGTGACAAGTATTTATCAATCCTTTATTCTCAAAATGCTACTCTGAATGTTTTCTCTCTTAAGATACTCAACTTCAGCTGTGCACCCTAAATTTAGTGATGCAACTTATGTACTAAGCACTATGCTACGTCTGCTCACATTATTTATTCCTCAAATAGCTATTGTGCCTATTTTATGAATGAAAAGGTTACAAACTTTGCATAGTCACCAGGTGATAAAATGGCAGAACTAGGGTTTAAACTCAGGATTTTTAGCCCTATATTAAGAGCTCTCTGTCCCCAAAATACCATTACTTGAAACCCAGAGATTCCCCTAAGATACCACACTTTGCCTCTATGGTCTTACATAAAATTACCAAGTACTGCCAATTCTCTTGCAGTACTGCTTCTTACATTAACTCTTTCCTGAAGTGACACATTCAATCGTGTCTAAAATTCACCCTGCCCATCTGACTTCAGGAAACCTTCCTAGATTTAGCTCACCCAATCTACTCAATCCTTTGAGTCCTATTCATATGGCCTGGATTTAACTCTTGCTTCTACACTTCTTAGTTCTGTGTCCTTCGATAGGTAATTCGACAAATGACACTGAGTTTTCTTACCTGTAAGATGGGAATAATAGTACCTGCCACACAGGGAAGATGAGGAGTAAATGAAATGATTCATGTAAAGTCTTTAAAAGTTGTCAGATACTTGTAAGCACATTAAATATTTCCTATTATTTTAAGAAATGTTTTTCACTTATTTGAAAAGAAGCAAATAAGTAGTGAATGGGATGATATGAATCCCTGGTTCACATGGTGTTCATTCCTAAAGATTAATCAATACCAATAAAGAAGAATCAGATAAAATCTTATGTCCTCTAAGATCTTAACATCTCTTAATGAGCCAAAGATGCTGCAAACATGGAGAACTAACATGGGTGAAAAATAAATGGCACAGCAAGGAAAGCAACAGTTTCAAAGTCACACATTCTGCCTTCGAATCCTTGCTCTGCCACTTAAAATATGTAACGCAGGCAAGTTATTTCACCTTCTTGGAATAAATTTTCATTAATAAGTATCACAAAGCTTAACTTTTTAAAATTAGTCATGACTGCATATGTAAAATACCTGGCACTTATTAGATGCTAAACACATACTGGTTCCCTTCTCTTGTTTCAACAGCTTGGACTATAATTAGAGCTTAGAACTAGGACAGTGGCAGTGAAAATGTACAAGCTTTATTAGTGACCACAGAACACACAGATCTTTAATCCACCAAGTCAGTTTGTGACCATGTGTAGAGTTAGACTATCTAGACTGGTTTTATTATGGCACAGGGGCAGTGTCAAAACTCTGAGTGCTTCCTGACTGAGAGCAACTTCACAATCAAGGAAATACCACTGAGTAGCCAGCCACAGGCAGGGTTGAGCTTCCTGTTAAAAATCATGTTAAGAAGCTTCTCTCTAAAACAAGAAAGCTGGTCACTGAGAAGAATCAACATGATACTCAACAACAATCTGCTCTCACCCAGGCCTGAACCTTCCTAGAAACAAATGTTGAAAAAGATGAGCTCTTCAAGTGAAGCAGACTGGATGTCAGGAAAGTGAGGAGTGAATCCCATGAAACTCATTGTAAACTCAACCTGGTCCATTGTCTATTAAGATCACAGAGATACTACAATGAGGACATGAACATACACAGACACACACGCAAACAAAGATGCACACATGCTTCTACTTAAAAGCAGAGAGGGAAGGGGTATAAAAGCCGAGACGGATAATGGCAATTGTCAAGAAAACCTTGGCAGGTCCAATGGGCAGTTGCCCGTCCTTTTTTAACCCAGCCCTTTATTTCCTTTTGACTTCAAGATACTAATCTTGATCTTAATCCAACGCTTCTACCTTCAAATTCGAAAGATTTTATACAGATGTAAAACAAAATTCTACAATCTAAGAGAAAAAGATGTTACTTACCTTTACAATAGCCCTATGATACAGGTTAAACATAAGATTTTATTTTGTACCTACTACGATTCTTGTCAAAGTTTAGGCAATAATGAATCAACTGAAAGTAGTCATAGGTTGAAGGGTTAAATAAAGCTAACATTTAGTTCTAATTCAATATTAGGTTAGGCTGATTCAATGCTAGCTAAACTTTGAGAAGAGTTTAGCTAGTAGGCACTATATAAAATCTTCTAATAACCAAAAGAAAAATTACAACCCTATGAAAATGTGGATCTGAAATTTTCTGAGGACTCAAAAGGAGAAAAGATAGTCAAAACCAAGCTTCTGGTTAAATATTACAAAAATTAAATGCTTAAAAATTGTAGATTAGCACAGTATTATTCTGTGTGTTTTTTAGACTTCTCAAAATACAAAAACAAACACTTTAGCATTACAGCAAATGCATAATTGAAAAGGTTCATCAACAGTTCTAATGAAATGAACATCTGGCTTCCTGAAGACTTTTAGAAAAAAAGAGAGGAAGAATGTACCTCAAGATCCATTTCTCCCATTTAGTTTGATCTTTACTTGAATATATTATTCTCAAACATTAGTTCTTTCTACTCCAATATAAGTTTCAAAAGGGCAATATTCTTTTCCATTTACTTAGGACCCAGAGCCTCAGTGCATGAAAATAAGTATTCACCTTTAGACTAAACTCCTTCGAAGTCATAAAATATTACATGTGCATGAGTTTTAATTATATGGTGCATTTATTCTAGTAAGTTAACTCAGTATTTCCATACATCAAGAACATACAATACCAAAAACAAAACAACACACATGCAAAAACACATCTGATGCTTGATCCTGGTCAATAGCAACTCATAACTAGAATAATTTTGTGTTTGGTTATAGAAGAAAATGCAACTTGATGTCTCACCCTGATATTGGTAAGTAGCAGATGCTATTAAGATAAAGATATAAACACTAAAACATGGTTAATAAGTCAGCATTTGTATTTGTCTGGATAAAATTAAAAGTGGTATCAATTATTATGTGCTGTTGTGTAGACACAGGTACAGTAATAAATCTAAGACTGCCTCAGACTAGAAACAAAACACCTGGCTATCTTGAAAGCATGGTCACTTTGACAAACCAAGAGAAATTTTCTTAATTAAAAAAAGCAGCTCTTTCCGTAAACTTACTTGCTAATTTGGCCTGTAATCCAGAAGGTCCAGGTTTTGATGTCTCTGACTTAGAAGACCCTGGAAGAGACAGTTTTGTTTTAGGAAGGCTAACTTTAGGGCTGAAACGCGCAGCCCAATCAAATTTTGAAGAGCCACCAGTTTTACTCTGTTCCTTTTCCCTGCTACTTCTTCTGGGACTGGGACTGGATGCTGAACGGGAACGCCTGGCCTTGTTCTGGTCTTTTCCTTGTTTCACCCTGGCACCTGGTGGTACAGTGGAGGAGGCCGAGGCTACAGCAGAAGATGAGGAGGAAGTAGAGGCAGCAGAAGAAGAATCAGTGATGGTGCTACACCCAGCTTTGGCTGAGGCGGCTGATTTTGAAGCCAGCTTGGTAGGTTTTGCAGATCTCTCTTCGGTACCAGTTGACTCAGACACAGAACCACTCTTTATACAAGAACTCTCTGTCCTCTTTCTTTTCTGACTCCGTGAACTACCAGTGGCCCCACTCTTTCTGGTATGAGCCTTGCTTGTTGATGGCAATTGTGCAGATTTCAGTTGTTGCTCCTGGTCTAAATGTCTCTTTTTTGACTTACTATGTGACTTATTTGTTTCTGAGAGCGATTCAGAATGCTGAAGTGCTTTTGGTTTTTTTGCAGAGCTAGGAGAATTGGTCCTGTTGTAGTCTGGACTAGCACTGCGTTTCACTCCTCGAGAATTGTCTTTCTTAGGCACCTGCCCCGTTTTTTGCCTTTCTGAAGTATTGGCTCTGTCTGGATCCTCTGGTTGTGGAACTATGACAGCAGATGATGAACTGCAGCTTCTAAGAGGTTAGATAAGAAGAGAGTTAATATCAGCCTGCCATATAATATTTATCAAATTCTCAAATCTATGGAAACAAGTGCTAAAATAAGTACAAAAATTTTTCTAAGCAATAATAAACATAGCTTTTCCAATGGCTCAAAATTGGGGGGGAAAATTGAGCTTGACTTTGGATTGTAAAAGTATTAAAAGATCAGGTTAATTCTCTAGCCCAAAGATCAGGTTTATTCTTTAGCCCAAAGATTACTGACACTAACACTCCTAATCACAAAACAAGAACTCAGATTACGGGAAAAAGAATGCTTTTTCAGAACCAGTTGAAACTAGAATATTGATGCTTTATTTACAAAGAAAACGACTTTATTCGAGCTTAAAATAAGCAAGCATTAAATTACACACTTTCAAAATGAAGGTTAGAAGTTGTTGTATTGTAGCATCATCAAATCTTTACAGATATATTTCATCACAAAGGCTCCTACCAATTAGATCTTAAGAAATCATTGATCTATGGCTCTAACAATTAAAATCTAAGGAAAATGGCACAATGCATTTCAGAAGCCTATAATGATTTGTTAAGAAAAAGGGGAACCTCCTATCTCTCTCTAAGCAAGAAAAAGTGCATTGTCCAGCATCAACATCACTGCAAAGTTGATGAAAAAACCATTAATGCAAAAGTTATACTTAGAGAATAATGAAATATATATCATAACATTTTGGCATAATCTAGTAAGTTTTAATATTATGCAATGATTCATATGCAAATAATTCTGCTTTGAGAATGTATAAGCCATGTGAAGATTTACCTTTTAGAAAGGTGTCCCCTTGACAGTTCAGTAGTATTAGACTGCACTTTGGGTGCCTTAGAATTAGATTTTCTACTCTCAGGAGGGCTATATCCCTTATGTTTTGCCTGCCCTAAATGTGACCTGTCAGCAGAAAATCAAAACAGAAATCTATCAGGAAAATGAGATGCAAATACAATAGTGAAAGTCAAATTATTTTTTCAAAAAAATCCTCCCAATTTTTCATTATTGACCCTACCCCTGTCCCAAATATTTATATTAAATTATTATTCTATCAAATAATTTGGCAAAAATACTGCCTTTTAGTACCAACTCCCTGAATACCCAAGAGTTAAGATTTTTTATTATGAGTTGTCATAATGTCACAGCAGTATTATAGTTGCTCAAGCCATAATAAATTTTTCAGCAATTTTACTGTAGACATTCAAATATGCTCAATTTTTAAAAAGCAAACCCACATTTTAGATCTAAACACTACTTTTAATAGCCAATGTAACTATAATAGCATAAAATGTTTATAGAAATAGCAATCTGTGATCCCTACAATGTTAACGATATCCAATTTGTACATTATAATTCAGGTTAGCATGTAACTGATTAAGATTAAATCAATTCTCAAGCTGATTCTACACAGAAAATCATTAGAAGCAACTAAAGAGTAAATAAATAAACTTACATGAAATCAACAGTGATATCTGCTAAGAATTTATAGCACTTATCAACAGAAAGTAAGCCCAAAACCAAATCTGAGAAAGAGATAAAGAATTTACAACAGCCCAGCCGGTGTGGCTCAGTGGTGGAATATCAACCCATGAACCAGGAGGTCAGGGTTTGATTCCCGGTCAGGGCACATGCTCAGGTTGCAGGCTTGATCCCCAGTAAGGGATGTGCAGGAAGCAGATCAATGATTCTCATCATTGATGTTTCTATCACTCTCTCCCCCTCTCTGAAATAAAATAAATATTTTTAATAAAAAAGCGGGGGGGAAAGTATTTATAACAAAATAATCCAAACACATTCTAAAGATTCCATCACTGATAAATGATTTGAGTTGTACAGGGTAGGACAAAGGAGGTTTACAGTTACACATACAGGAAACAGAGTTTATTGGCTTATTATTGTTTCTTAATTATTGTATTATTTTCCACACAAAAAAACTGTAAATATCCTTTTGCCCCACCCTGTATTTATAATAAACCAAATCCTTATGTCAGCATTATTCTAAGAGCAAGTTTGAGGGACATAAGGAGTTTTCAGTAGTTAGTTTTTTGTTTTTAAATATATTTTATTGATTTTTTACAGAGAGGAAGGGAGGAGGAGAGGGATAGAAAGTTAGAAACATCAATGAGAGAGAAACATCGATTCAGCTGCTTCCTGCACACTCCCTACTGGGGATGTGCCCGCAACCAAGGTACATGCCCTTGACCGGAATCGAACCTGGGACCCTTCAGTCCCCAGGCCCATGCTCTATCCACTGAGCCAAACCGGTCAGGGCAGTAGTTAGTTTTTTAATTCCTGCCAATAGTTATATCAAACTTATTAAGCAAAGGAAGCATGCATTAATATATACCCAGAAAAGCTGGTCCTATAAAGGTAAGATATTAACATAGCAGATGCAATTTATGTAATTCACAACCAACATGCATGTAAATAATATATAACATAAAGAGCATATGCTAATGAGAATAACAAAGTTTCATTCATATCAAAGCTGTTTACCATGTTTAAAAATTTTTTTTAAAGGCTTTCATTCTGAGCATAATCTCAAAGGAGCTTAGACATAAGTCACTAAAACCTCACACAAAAATTCTAATTTAACCTGTAAGTGTGCCATACAGTTCTTAACATATCATACAAGTTCCACCATCTCTTCAAGAAGATTTAGATCTAAGGTTTCTCATCTCAGTATTTTTATTTTTTCTTCAATTTTTCCAGAATCCAATACTGGATTCTTGAAAGAATATATGAATTTAGCTTGTCAATGAAAGGAAGCATTTCTTGGATCCATAATATCATTTTCATTTTTAAGGTTCTAATCTATGACAGAATATAGATCAACTTCTTAAAAACTCTAGATTAGTTTTTCAAGTGTCTTAGTCTTCACTTTAGGAATGATTTTTTTTTTCAAGGTATATATTTTCTCTGGGTATAGCTAACTGAACCTTGTAAGATTTTGATAGACTGTAATTTACTCTTTATTTTTCCTAGATATTATTCTACTGCAAACCAAAATGTTGGTTTATCCCATGAGTTTCTTATTAGAGATTTAATTTCTAGGAATTGCTTTTGTTTTTATTATATTTCTAGTAATATACCTAAGAGTTGTTTTTTTTAAATGAGATTGAGAAAATTTTCAAATAATTTGTTATTTTTTTAAAAGGAAGGTATAATGTTCCATTTTCAGAGTATACAATTTAATATCCATGGGACAACATGTCATCCAGGTTCTCCACACATCCTAATTTCCATAGTTTGCTAACAGAGCAACTTAATTGAATCACAATTTCTACTTCAGTTATAAAATTTAAAATATTCCTTTACATATTTTTATTATAATTTAGAAGTCATATAAAAAAAACACACAACACATTATCACCCTCACTGGGTAGAGCGTCTTCCCATCATACCAAGGTTGTGAGCTTGATCCCCAGTCAGGACACATATAAGACTAAGCCAATGAACGCATAAATAAGTAGAATAACAAATTGACATTTCTCTCCCTCTCAAATCATTAAATACAAAATTAAAAAACAAAACAAAAATGCTATCTATTCAAAGGTAGGCAATTCTGTAATAATGTATAGACAGTTAAATATTCAAATGTCAATGATAAAAAACCGTCACAGTATATGCCTAGTATATCTCAAAAATAATATTCATTTTCTTTGTCAACAGAAATTGACCAGCATCAACCTAACGCTGATTCCAGTAGAGGTAGCAGTTCCTCCGTCTTTAACCCAAATAAATTGTTCTCTGGTCTTAAAACACATCTAACTATATATTCATCCAAATCTCTTTCTTCATTTTTCATGTTCTTACTAACACGCTACTTCAATGAACTAAATAATTTAGCAGGTGAACCCTCAATATCAGAATACCCCCCCAAAAAAAAAAAGGTTAACAATACCCAATCATCTTAGAAACTGAGGCTCTTAAAATAAGCTAAAATCCAATTAAGCTCACACTGATCTGATTCTTCCTTTCCTGAAACTATTTTAAGTGTGACATTGTGCCCTAGCTGGTTTGGTTCAGTAGAGGAGCCTTTGGACCAAAGGGTCCTGGGTTCGATTCTGGTCAGTCATGTACCTTGGTTGCAGACTCCTCCCCTGCCTGGGCCCTGGTCTGGGCTAGTGCAGGAGGTAACCAACCAATGTGTTTCTCTCACATCAGTGTTTCTCTTTGTCTTTCCCTCTCTCTTCCACTCTCCCTAAAAATCAATGGAAAAATATCCTCGGGTGAAGATTAACGAAAAAAAAAGGGGGGGGGGCATTCTGAGGAGTGGTTAAAAATATATCTTAAAATATTATAAAGTACTGATCATTATTACTGTCCTGCCTATTGTTTAATACAGTCTTAATACATTTTCTTTAAAGAATAGTAAATACTTTCAGCTTTGTGGGAGATACTATATACCAAAACAAACAAACAAACAAAAACAGATATATACACAAATAAATGGGCATGGCACATTCCACTCAAATTTATTTAAAAACAGACAATAGGCTGGATTTGGCCCAGGGGTCACAGTTTCCCAACCCTTGGCTTACCACAAGAGGAAGAGGCAACCAGATGGAACCTTAAAGTAATAATACGGAGCCTTCCAAAGTGAGGCTCTATTTTATTATACTCATTTGTAAATTATTAATGCTCAAAATACTTTAAGTAAATCTCCATTAAATAATACCAGATCTAGAATAGCCAATTAAAACATCACAGTATTCAGCACTACATGAACTTCAATGCCTCCTTTTAGCTCATTTTACCAACTCTCATTTATTAAACCTTATGCTAAACATTGTTATTTAAATGTATAATCTGTTTAAGATCTAGTAAAATTTACATCCACTATGAATCAAATTTGCAAGAGCAGCACAGTGCAATTCATGACAAATTGTTTAATAGCACAAGAATGAGTCCATTTAGTAAATTATAGCCCAAGGTCAGGTGGGTGGATGGGTGTGGGTGTGTGTGGTTCAGGAAATTCTATATGGTCATTGCATGGGGGTTCCTCAAGAAACTCATGTTCTGAAAAGTCACCCACTAAAAATAACTAGGCTAATGGTAAAAATAAGATTGTACACAAACTACTCAAACCTATGTTATTTTCATAAGTCCCAACAAAAACATCATAAATTTTAATAAAATGTTAAATCTCTACTAACATTTGGACCAATAATCACAGTTGGTCTACTCTTTGGAGTCTTATTTTTGTACTTTCTCCTATAAGTGTAAACTTCCAAAGATGTTTTAAAACCAGCTTCAACAAAATTAAAAATACATTTCTGGGGAGGCTTTCCTTTTTGACAATTTCTTTCTTTTATAAATACAGGGTAAATGTTTTTGAGCTTTCTGAAAGTGTTTAAAATAGTGCAAAGTACAGCGGTTCTGCAAATCACTAGCTTTTTCTTGCACTAAATCATTTATTCAGAGCATTTCTGCAATATTTTCAGATTTTCCACAAGATATTATAAATTATTACCAAATATTTTTCTTTAATTTAAAAGCCTACATACATGCCTTTCAGTTCATATATTAGCA